CACACACACAAACACTATTAAAGACCCACTCGGAGCATTTGCAGGGAGGACCGACTCCAGCTATTCCGGAAGGGCCTGTCTCTGTCAGGGCTGATTCTGGTCCGAGTTGAGAGTGTATTTACTGGCCAAAGTCTGCTCCAAAGTAAACATGTCATCACATTCCTCACAGCCTGTAACCTCCATGGGGAGAGGCTGGGCCACCGTGGAGCTAGGGTGGTGAGGAAACCTTATCTGACTCCATTTCAGCAGGATCCCACTTCGTTCACTGGGTGGGGGACACGGGGAGGAAAGAAGCAGAGACTCCTAAACAGGCCGAATGAAAGGACACATTTGGTGCCGTTGTTCTCTGCGGTGGTGAGAAGGGGATACTGGGAGGTTTAGAGGACAAACATGTGATGTAGTGAGAGAGCACACTCATTCATGTGGGTGTGCCTTTGAGTTTATCCTTATTGCTTTTTTCTACCCATAGACGTAGAACAGACTTCTTTTTCCTTCCTTCCTTCCTTCCTTCCTTCCTTCCTTCCTTCCTTCCTTCCTTCCTTCCGGTATGACAGACTTACAGTAGACTGCATATATTTAAAGTGTATAATTTGATTTTTTAACACACACACACACAAACATACTCATGAAACCATTACTATAATTAAAACTGGGAACATTTTGGTTGTATCAAACTTGTATATTAAATATAATCATGTTCTGTTTTTGTTTTTTAAAAAATATATTTTATTGATTTTTTACAGAGAAGAAGGGAGAGGGATAGAGAATTAGAAACATCGATGAGAGAGAAACATCGATCAGCTGCCTCCTGCACACCTCCTACTGGGGATGTGCCCGCAACCAAGGTACATGCCCTTGGCCGGAATCGAACCTGGGACCTTTCAGTCCGCAGGCCAATGCTCTATCCACTGAGCCACACCGGCCAGGGCTCATGTTCTGTTTAAAAAAAAGGGGGGGGGGAGACATAAGAATCACTCCAAAAAGTTTCCTCAGGGGTGACAAGAAGAGATAAACCAAAGAACGTATATACTTAGATGCATAGCGCATGGGCACAGGCCATAATAGGGTGGTGAAGACCTGAGGTGGGTGGGGAGGGGCTGGGAAGAGGGGAGGAAGGGAGGGGGAAATGGGAGATATCTGGAATACTATCAGCAATAAAAAATATATTTAAAAAAAGTTTCCTCATACCCTTTTGTACTCCTTCCCTCCCTACCCTCTTCATCCCTAGGCACACCAGGGTCTGCTTTCTCTCACTCTAATTGGTTTGCATTTCCTAGAGTTGTATGTAAATGGAGCCATACAGGATGTATTCTTCTTCTGTCTAGCTCTGTTCACGTAGCATAATTATTCTGAGATTTGGCTGTGGCTGTGTGTATCCGTAGGTCCTTCCTTTTTACGGCTGAGTAACTCGTGCACGGTGTGGCTGTACCGGTCTGTGCATCCACTCACCTGCTCATGGGCCTCTGGGTCCTTGCCCGTTTCGGGCAGTTACCAATCAAGCTGGTGTGAGTATCCAAGTGCAAGTCTTTTATAGACACACGTTTTATTTCCCTGGGGTAATTAGTCAGGAGTGGAAGGGCTGGATCATATGGTCGGTATATGTTTCACTTTCTAAAAAACTGCCTTCCATAGCGGGTATGCCATTTTATATTCCCACCAACAGTGCATGTTTAACAACGTTAAACATTTAAGACAGAAAGAACAGTCCTTAAGGTAGAAAGTAAAAGCTCTTATAAGTCTACCTCCTAGTGACTGGCCGGCTTCACTGTTTACTATAAATCTTGCAGGGTTCCTTTGTTTTCTTGTCCACACACAGAACCTGACTGAGGCGCTGAGGTGCCCTGGGCAGGCTAATAATCTGGCATGCCCGCAGCCTGATATTGCAAAAACAGTTGTTCAAAATTTACTTAGGCAGGCTGTGGAGAAACTGGTTCTCTGTTAATAAAATATATCATTCTTCTTTCCTTTCGAAATAAAGGATTTATTACATGCACCGAATGAAACCTGACCTCTTAACTTCTTTGGCATGGTCCTGGAATCGTAGTCGTTCAAGCTTTTTGGGGCTGAAATAAAGGGCATAGGATTGGGTGTCACACTAACAAAACGTTAGGTCCTGGCGCAGCACCAAACGCT